TTCTATACCAATTGAAATTTAAAAAGTGAATGCTTTTAAATAATTCACGCTATGCTGAAATTTAAAATTTATTAATAATAAGATTATTGATATTTATATTTGATACTATTTCTATTTATTGATATTATCATTTAATAGTTAACCATATTATGTGCTTAAATCAAAACAATACTATTAAAATGTAGTGTTTTCATTAGCTTTTTTATTTTTACTTTTGACTCATTTGAATTAATATCAAAATAATTTAAATAAGTTATTATCTTTCTATTGTATTATCACAGTATATATGATTTATTGAATGTATAAGTAAAATTTACATTTTTATTTTATTATGGTGTTTGGTGATGAAATATCCGCTGATGGCAAAAATACTTCTCTCATTCCTCACCCGATGGTGCCAGTATGTTCTACTCGCCCCCACCACAGCGAGATATCCTCAGTGGCCATCAGGCTAACCAGTTCCGTGTAACGCAAATGCGTCCTCCATGAATGTAAATTTCTCTCAATACTTGATCCTTCTGGATTCAAAAATGACGTTTTAACATTAGTAAAGCCAAAAGGGTCGACTGAAAGTCAATCACCACCCAATAAACCCATATCAACGATTTGACGTTTATCACTACTACTTACAGATGCATTCAACCAATACATTTTATTATCATAAATTTAATCGGATATAAATTGATATAATTATATCAATAGATTCAATTCGTAAGAAAATTATTTATTTTTTTTTTTTTTGCAAGGGAGATATTTGATTCAAGCAATATATTACATTCTGACGAATTAACATCTTTGCTCATTTTTTGAATGAAATAATTTATACTGCATTTCTTTCCAAAAACCTACAACAATTATACTAACATAACGGTAAGAATAACATGCACCTTCATTTTGCATCTCGGGTTCTTCCCCTTCTGGTTATTTATCATTTGATTTTTCATCGAAACATATCACTGTTTTAAAAGTAGTTTTTTTTTTGTTCCCCTTTAGAGACAAAAAATGACCCACTACAAATGCTTAAAGGTTTGTTGTACTCTCTTTGTCCTGAGCCTTTGCTTCGATGCCGTTGCATCTTGTGAAAACTCTACCGAAACTTCTGGGAACTTCTTTTACCGCCACAACCTCGAAGTGGTAAGTGACTTTTAAAATTCTTCAAATAAAATGAAAAAGCAATTTTTTAAATACATTTTATATAAACTCATTGAGCGTGTATGATGTAATAATAGTCCCGCAGCTGACTGATCGTAAAGACACGGCTCCCAGTAGAACACCAAAGTTATTCATCACTGGCTGTGGTCAGTAAGCGGGTGGGTGACCACTTTGATCAGCCTGCGTAGGGACCTAGGGAGTGCGGTCTTCGTTAAACTGTTCTATCGTAAAGTGCTTTACTTTGCGCGTAGGTCGTCGGGCTACCAAAGCAGGGGAGCCATCCCCTCTGCAGAGGATCAAAATGGCGATGCCATTTCTTCGAATCATACTCGAGGATGTTTCCCAGATCGTCGCCATTGTGCAGCTCTAGGACAACGTAAATAAAGTAACTACCTGTAGTTTGTCTAAACTAAGAATACCCCTAGCCATTCGTCTGGGCCCAAGGTGGTGACTATGGTTACGAGGTATAACTATTTCAAGTAGGGGTGTTGGGTTTAGGACAAGTTTCGTGTAGGCGAGAGAAAGGGAATCTTTTTCTTCTGCCTATTTTATTTTTATTTTATAACAGTCGTTGAACAGCCGACCCAATTTCATGGGTTTACGACTACTTACGCTCAACTCCGTAGCCTTGTAATTTTGAACCAATCCAGAAGACAAGGAAACTCCTGGATCAGTACCCCCAGAGGTATCGATTTGTTGTGGGAACATGGAGGACTTTGAGACTCGACAGATTTACCGTGCATCAGTCACCATTTACTACACGGGGAGTCTTCGGCCGGCGAGGATCGAACCCATGACCTCTTGGATATGGGCCCAGCGCCCTCTTCTGTCTATTGTGTTAATCCTAGAGGGAAGAGAATCTACCCTCCTAAAATGTGCTATTTTTGCTTTCATAGCAGCAGACGGCCTCAGAGTTTGTGCCGGGGGGGAGGGGAGTTCTTACCGTAGACAAACTATACCTATGGTGTGATAAGCTAATAAATAAATAATAAGCCGCGATGGTGTAGGTTGGCAGAATTCAAAAACCTTTCTCTCCTAATGCGTATTCAAGACGTTCACTTACCGCAAATGGATCGCGAGTTTCGTCCAATACTTTAGAGACCGTTCACACTGCATACGATTTACGTATTAAAGAGAAATGGAAAACCTTTTTGGCATACTATTATGAATTGTCTTTATCATGAATATCTATGAATTGTCTGCTATTACGAATTGTCTTTATTCTCTTTATATTTACTATTTCAGTGTATAGCAGACATAGTCAGAGCCATATGTAATGCCCTGAGACCATCACCCGCTAAACGTCATACAGAACTCATCAACAGCATTCTTGGATTGCCCAGAATTTTGAAAGAAGCCGGAAGATGAAATCATTTCACTTCATTTCTTTTCTTTTCTCAATTTTTAAAAGCAGTAGAGACATAAGCATCCAAACTATTTCACACAAAGACAAGAAAAGCGTATCAGAACAACAATTCTATCGTGCTTTAAATTCTATCAGATTATGATTGAGAACAGATACTTTTTTATGTTTTTTTTTCTTTTTTAAATTTTTACATTCCAAAAATTGCTTAAATTTTTTACTAAAAATTCAGGCAGTATTGTTTTTTCCTAATGTGGAATAAATCTGTGATCTGTGTAACCGACATTTTTTTAAAAAGTCTTTTGCGTTTTTTCATTCTCTTTGGAATGGGTAAGTTTTTTACTAAAAATTCATGCGCTAATAATTTTTCCAAATGTTCTTAAAATCTGCACCAAAAAAATTTTTTTTTCTTAAATGTGTCTTGCATATTTTCATTATAAAAATTATTTGAAATTTTTAATAAAAATTAAGTATTATTGTCTTTTTCCAAATGTTCTTTAAATCTGCAAAAAATATGTTTTTTTTTTTAAGATGTGTCTTGGATATTTTCATTGTAAAAATCATTTAGAATTTCTATTAAAAATTCAAGTGCAATTGTTCCTTCCAAATGTTCTTTAAATCTGTGAAAAATATGTTTTTTTTTTCTTAATGTGGATTGTAAACATCATTGTAAAAATTATTTAGAATTTTTATTAAAAATTCAAGTACTTTTGTTTTTTCCATCTGCGTGTTCTTTAAATGCATGTTTCCATGTTCTTTAAATCTGCGAAAAATATGTTGCTGTTTTTTTTTTCCTTAACATGTCTTGGATATTTTCTTTGTAAAAATTATTCAGAATTTCTATTGAAAACTCAAGTACTATTGTTTTATTCAACTGTTTTTTAAATCTTCGAAAAATGTTTTTTTTTCCTTAACGTGTTTTGGATATTATTTTAGTAATTAATAAATGATTATTATAATTATTAATAAAAGTATTCAAATCAGGAATTGTCTTCTCCTAATGTACATCAAGTCTGTGAAGAAAAATGTTTTTTTTTTCTTTAAGGAATTAATATTTTCTCCATTCTAAAAATTCTCTTTAAATTTTTCACAAAACATCCACGTACTATTATTGTTTTTTTTCTACTATGCATTTTTTTTCATCAGATTATGATAGAAATTCCGATTCAGATTATGATGGATTTTACTAATTCCGGATAAAGGAAAATGTTTTTAAAAGAAGGGATGGAAGAAATATTCATTGTCAATATAATTTTTGTGAATTTAAAGCCATTTTTTATAACATTTAACTCATAAGCTGTTACGAGTAAATATACAGGTATAAATAAATTTTCACAGTACTCCAAATCAAATTTGCGAGCTATCAGAATTTTTTAACTGACTCTTTTAAACGTAATTCCAACTCAAAATTAATGCAAAAAAACTTATTTTGTTAACTTGAAGCGTAATGAATGGTTTGAAGAATAAACACTTTAAATAATTAATATTTACATTTATTTACAATTTATACATAATTCGTTTAGTTTAAATGCGGCATCAAATATTTAAGATGCGAATAAGAAAATATATAATAATAGAACAACATTAAAAAGCAATTCTAAAAAGTGGGAATTAAAGTTGTAGTTAAAACAAACTTAAAGTTAATAAATAATTATAAAAACAATTAATGTAGAATATGATGAGTGATGTCACGTCGCTTCAAAGCCTATGGTAATCTATGGCAACCTATGGCTACCATAGAAATTTGTATGGC